GAAATAATGTTGGTGATGTTAGTTTATTTCTCTAATATTCATTAGGTCGGTGAAAATGATCACTTTATTATTTGTCTTTCGTTATATTTTGCATTAATTATGCACAAGGATGGTTGGTTAAGGCCTTGGTGGCCGGTCCGCTGCTCACCCTATGTGATCTGGGGTGGGGGTGTGACACATTGGTGTGAAGCTATGGCCTATGAAATTCGTGCCCTTGAAGAAAATTTCACTTGGACACTTGAAACCCTCCCTCCTATCAAGAAACCTATCGGATGTAAGTGGGTATTCAAAACCAAACTCCGAGCAGATGGCACTATTGAGCGCTACAAGGCCCGACTTGTAGCCAAAGGCTACACTCAAGTGGAAGGCATTGACTATCATGAAACTTTTGCCCCAATTGCCAAGATGACCACAGTACGCTGTGTTCTTGCTGTTGCTACCACAAAAAATTGGGTCATCCTCCAAATGGACGTCCATAATGCCTTCCTGCATGGTACACTTGATGAGGAAGTTTACATGACCCCACCACTCAGCTACTATGTTAAGGGGGAGACACGAGTCTGTCGCCTTCAAAAATCGCTCTATGGCCTCAAACAAGCTTCTCGGAACTGGATTTTTAAACTAACCTTTGTTCTTCTTAATGCAGGTTTTGTTCAGTCATAGCAGATCACTCCCTATTTACCTTGATCACTGCAACTAATCTTATTATTATTCTTGTTTACGTTGACGATATTTTGGTTGTTGGCAATGACCTTTCTCAGGTCACCTTCTTTAAGAGCGTTCTTTCCAGCAACTTCAAAACCAAGAATCTCGGACCTCTTAAATATTTTCTTGAAGTTGAAGTTGCACGCTCTCCCTCTGGCATTTTTCTTAATCAACAAAAATATGCCCTAGACATCCTTGCTGATAGTGGTCAACTTGGTTCTCGTCCCGCCTTTTCCTATGGAACAGAATCTGAAGCTCAATGACACAGATGGTGACCTTCTTCCTGATCCCGCTCCTTACCGTCGATTAGTGGGACGCCTCATTTACCTCACCATCACTAGACCTGATATCATCTTTGCAGTGAATATCCTCAGCCAATTTATGCATGCACCTTGGATCTCTCACGTGACAACTGCAACATGTGTCCTCTGCTACATCAAAGGGACTCCTGGACAAGGCATTTTTTTCTCTTCCTCTAATAATCTTCATGTCACTGCTTACACAGATTCTGATTGGGCCAGTTATCCTACCACTAGGCGCTCTACCACTAGCTTCTTCATCACACTTGGTTTCAGTCCTATTTCTTGCCGCATTAAGAAACAGACTACGGTGGCCCGCTCCTCTACAGAAGCTGAATATCGCGTTATGGTCGTCACAACATGTGAATTCATTTGGTTAAAACAGCTTCTCCATGACATTGGCATCTCACACAAAGACCCAATGACCCTCTACTGTGAGAATCAGTCCGCCCTCTACATTACTCAGAATACAATTTTTCATGAACGAACAAAGCATATTGAGATAGACTACCACATCATCCGTGAAAAACTTCGTTCTAGTCTCTTCATCACTGCTCATCTTCCATCTTCTGAACAGATTGTTGACATCTTCACCAAAGCATTGGGATCTGACCTCTTTCATCACTTATCTTGCAAGTTGAGCATTACGAATCTTCATGCACCAACTTGAGGGGGAGTATTACAGTATATTGAAATCCCATGATTTTAGCAATCCCACAATTTTAGCTAATCATTTGTTATAGGATATTTGACATTCATTTGTATAGATTTCTTTTATTTTATTTCCATGTAAATCATAGCCGTGTATAGCTATATAAAGCATACTGATCAATGAGAAAAGTGATAACTGTTTTCTGCCAATTTACTTCTTTACACAACTTGTAGATGTTGACATTACGTTTCAAAATTGTGGGACAAATCAATTGTCACATTGCTATGGTTTGCAAATAGTTTATTCCCCTAATTATGCCATGCCATGTCAAAGTAGAAGTTTCAAAACATGTGCTGCCAGGATATGCAAAGGAACCCGTCTTTAGTATATTTTGGTTAGCTAAGGTGAGATACATAAGAAGAAGAAGAAAGTATTTAACTTAAATAGACAAATTAATTAAAAACACCCATTTGGAAGAACTTCAAAGAGAAGACTTTTGGAAGCTTCCATTTCATTGGAAGTTGAGTTACATCTATAGAGTTTACTACGACGTCTCTACATTGTTGTTCTACTTCCACCTACCACACCCTTGGACGTACTTGAAAATAGGGTCTGTTAGCTCAGCTTGTACTCTGGTCTGTCATCTAGAATTCAAGCAGAAATATTGCCTGACATTTATATATATTAACAAAGAAAACTTCTTGTAGTAATCTAAGGGTTTGTTTGGCTAGACTTAAGGGTTTGTTTGGCTAGACTTTTGGGCGAGAGAATGTAGTGGTTTTATTAATCCCTTCCAAACTCTTCGAAACCCATCGTCCACCTTTGAGTACATATGATTTAAAATGATTCCAATCTATACCCGTATTTGATAAATAATATTTACACATAGGGGACCTACGGCTTTATCATCATATATTGGTCATGTAAAATGACTATTTTGCCCATTACTCAATTTAATTCAAGTCTATGCTTCTTTGAGTCATTTCTTTTTCTTTTTCTTTTTTTTTTCAGTTAACTTATGAACTTCATATATTGGGTTTTTTTTTTTTTTTTGTCTTCTCAACTTTTAATTACAAACATCAATATTGATAAAAATGTACGTAATCCACATAATCAAAATCAAACAATTTTTTTTTGAAACCTTATTGTAGTCCAAAAATTAGTCGTACAAAAACATTTTTGCAAAATAACATTCAACATACCCGGATACACAAAACTAGTGTACATCCAAAACTAGTATAGAGAGATCTGGACACCAACGAATTGACCAAAAACCAAGCATGCGTTTGGTGAGTGGGATGTGGACTTTAATTTAGTTCACTCTTCATCGGATTAGACCACATGGGCAGAAAAATCAAAAGACGGAAGAACACAGCCATGAACCAACAGCCCAAAAAAAAGATGGGGGAAATGGGTTTATTTTAAGGGGGTAGAAGTGTCTTTTTCTTTTCTAAATCCGGTTTGCCCCACTGGAAACCCATCCCTAGCCCATGTTGAAGGGTTTAAGCTACCGGGCCAGCCTTCACTATTTGCATCCAAACATGGGTTACATTTATCTATATTGGACTATTTTTCTCCAAACTCATTTTGTCAAACCCTTCTACTCACCAAACAGTCCATAAGGGAATCACTCCAAGGGACATTATGTGGTCAAAATCCGGAATTAGCGTTTCCTAACAAAAGTAAAATTACATATCATTTACATCTCCAAATCTCGTTACACACGAGATACAACCTTTTAGATATATTTTTGACAGCCAGTTTACTGATGTTACATGAAGTTACAAAATTGTAGGACAAGTCAATCGTCACGTTGCTATGAGTTGCAAAAAAATAGTTTATTCCTAATTAAGCATAATTCTCCCACCCCATGTCAAAGTAGAAATTTTAAAACATGTGTGCTGCCAGGAAACTTAAAGGAACCCATCTTTAGTATATTTTGGCCAGCTAAGGTGAGATACCTAACAAGAAGAAGAAAGTATTTAACTTGAATAGATAAATTAATTAAAAACACCCATTTGGAAGAACTTTAAAGAGAAGACTTTTTGAAGCTTCCATTTCGGAGTTACATCTATGGAGTTTACTACCACTAGTTCTACTCCTACCTACCACACTCTTGGAAGTACTTGAAAATAAAGCCTGTTACCTTACTTAGCTTGTGCTTCGGCCTTTCTATTATGGGCCACTTTAAAATTTATTCATCAATTAGAGGTCCCATAATAAGATCAGATAATGCAAAAATTCTCATACAATTTTGTATACCACAATTCTGGATGGATGGATGAATAGACAGACGTTTATGGTAAACAGAAAATAACTATGCTAAGACCGGGGGTAATCCAACATTTATGAATCCACATTCCCTCGAGAGGACTTTTCCAGAATTTACCCCAATGTAGATCACACACTGTGTATTGATACCGAACCCATTTACATGTAGTGTATCCACTTAAAGCCATGGTGGGTTATCTGTCAATAGTCATTTATGACTAACAGAAACAGTACATGGACTGCTTCAAGTTTCTTGAAAAGAAACTAGGTCTGCGATGAGTCATGGAGAAAGTGAAATTACTGAGGTTTACGGTTCTTAATACCTCTGATGCATGTTGGAACGGTCGCTTTCAAATTAAGCATGGTTTTCATACACTCCTGAAAAATCTAATGTTCCACCTTTCTAGAATAATCTAATGTTCCTCTACCAAAATATAGATTGCTGTAAGGAATGTGAAGTAGAAACAACTGTGAAGTGAGTTCTTAGACAGGGCATCAATGTGCTGGCATTGGACAAAGTTAATTCTATAATGGGAAAAGTCCCAACAGTTTATAGCAAGTTGTTCCACAAGGGTGAATTATAAACTTCTGTTGAATTCAAATAAACTAGGTGAATCAAGCATTCAGGCCGTGATGAGGAATAGCCAAATGGTAAATACGTCCGGTTATGAGGCTACAATGTTCATCTGCAAGTTATGCAGAGTAACTTCTTTGTCAGTGATCAAGAAGCACATTGAATCCACAAATTCTTGTTACCAGTAACAAGATGTCAAGCTCCATGTTTCTTCTATTAGCACGTATCTACATAAAGTAATAATGCTTTAAGGGATGATTTTTTTCGATGCAGCAATCTCGAAAAGATTCTTAGGTGGCTTTGATGCAAACTGAAACACGTCTAACACTACTAGATAGGAAGAAATAAATAGATTGTGGATCCAGTAATGATTGCGGCAATGAGCATACAAGAAACACAAAAAAATTACTATCAAAAAAAAAATAAAATACAAGAAACAGAATTCATCCATCCAGAACATTGGACAGAAAATTGACAATTTAACGGGAAAAAGATGGTGCTAATTAGCAATGCTATCTCTTACAACTGCTTTACCTTCTACCTTCTGCTTTATCTTCATCTTGTTCATCCACACTCCACTCGCATTGCATGGAAAGAAACTGAGTTTAGGGCATTCTTCTTTCTCCAAGTAAAACAAGTTGGGAAATAACTCCTGCAGTTCTCTCCAGTCCACCTCCAATTCAGTCAAGTACTTCAGACGCAATTGCTCTACTGCCCACTTGTCCTTCCTGGCAAGGTCCTGAAACTGACCAAGATCAAAGAATTTTCCTCCTCTGATGTAGAGTTTCTCCAGGCCCTGCAGATTGGCAGGCTTTAGCCAATCTGCTGTTGTTCTCTTAGGAAAACACTTAAGGTCCAGTTTCTTCAGTCTTGAAGGAAGTGTCGGACTTGTTGAAGATGTCGGAATTGTTGGATGCTTCATGGTATATATTTTGCTCAGTGCTCTTTCTACTCGTGGTTTCTTGGCAGTGGCTATCAATCCATTGTCTTTCTTTTTATCTCCTCCACTAGCAACCAATCCATTGTCTTTCTTTTTCTCTCCTCCAGTGGCTATCAGTTCACTGTCTTTCTTTTTATCTCCTCCATCATTTGTTTTCTGCACGAGAGGCTTGCTGTCTGGTTTACGTTGCGAAGCACCCCCTCCCCATTCAATTGTTAGCTTCAGAAGTGCCGGAAATTTTCCAAGAGCATTCACATGTTCAACTTCAGGGAAGATCTTCATACATGTGTAAATGCTCAATTTTGTGAGCCCTGGTAGTTTTGCCAAATCGTCAAGAGTGCACGATGAGTCCTTTCGCTTTTTATCTCCAACTACAAACCCCTTAAGGACTTGGAGTTTGGTGAGCTTTGCAAGCTTCCTGGGCATATGTTCGAGCAGGTAACACTCGGACATGTCCAAGTGTGTCAAGCTCTCTAGCGACCCAATTCCTTCTGGAATTACTTCAAGATCATGACAGGCTCTGAGATCAAGAATCATCAAATACGTGAGCTGCGAAATGCATTCGGGGAGCTCAGTGATTCCAGAGATTCCTTGAAGGCTGAAAAATCTCAGATGTTTCATTTTCTTCAAGCCTTCCAAAAAGTTGGGTTTCTCAACTTCAACGTGCTGAGTAGCCGAGGCCTTCCATCTTCCCAGATGGAAAACATTGACATCTCTCATCCTCAATAACCACGTTGGCTCAAATTCAAGAATAGTCTCTCTAACATTAAACAGCATATGAAGTTTCTCAAAATTTTCAGTATTTTCAAAACCCGTCCCCAACAAGCACGCCCGGTAGGAACTCCCGAATGTCACCATTGGATAGCCTTTCGGATCAAAATCAAAAAACTTTGCCCTCTCTGCAAGCGTAACTACTGCATTACGCATAAAAGGGTGCATTCTGCAACTGCCCGCAACGAGACTCCACCTCTCATTGACCGGCTCGATAAAGCCTAATTCCATAAGCTTGTCGAAGAAGTCGTTGCCATGTTCCTCCGCGGTTTTTTTTGGGTTCTCGATGCCCTCATTGATTGGTGGTACAAAACCTTCTCCAATCCACCAATAGACCATGAGCCTCTTCTTTATGATAGCATCTTCAGGGAACACCGCGAAACACGACAAACAAAGTTTCAGTTCAATCCTAAGCCCACTGAAACGTGCCATGAAATCTTGAAACTCCCAGCTGTTCTCAAAGGTATTTGCATTGTATAATTTAGGCATTTTCTTGAGCACTTCTGGGGGAATTTCTTCCTTGCTTCCTATAGCACCATCGGGTTGTCGATTCCCATGGGGGTCTTTTTCTTTTGCATCAATCTTGTAATTTGGAGGGACCTTAAGCTTCAATTTGGTCACGGTCTTCTTTAGTTTGCGAAGTTCTTGCACCTTTTGATCCTTTTTGAGCTTAACCAATTTCTCGGATGCATCTTTGACTTGTTTATCCACATGTTTTTTCTGCTCGTCGAGCTTCTTCGAGGCCTTCTCCATGTAACCTAAATCAGCACTTATCAAGTTGGAAAGAGAGTCTGTTTCATCATTGGGGTTTTTTTTTTGGGTTGCTTGACAACTGGCTGGGGTTTGCGCTTGGAAGTGAAGCGATCTCGTAAAGCCCTAACTGAGAACTTTTTTATCTTTGCTTTAATGGAGAAAGCCGGTTTTTTCGCAGGTTTCCCATCAGTGTTTTGGTTCTGGGTCGTCTGGACTTGTTTGGGAGAATGGGAGGAATAGGATTTGTTTGGGGCGTTTTCTTCAATAATTTCCGTATTGCAAATGTTGACAGAGGTTGGCGGCGGTGAAGACGTCTCGGTGGACAGAAGCTCAGACTCAGAGGATGGAGATGGTGGAGGGGTGTCCACAGACACAGAGAGTGGTGGTGGAAGGGTGTCCACAGACTCAGAGGGTGGTGGTGGTGGTGGAGAGGTCTCTACAGATTCAGAGGATGGTGGTGGTGGAGCGGTGTCCACAGACACAGAGAGTGGTGGTGGAAGGGTGTCCACAGACTCAGAGGGTGGTGGTGGTGGTGGAGAGGTCTCTACAGATTCAGAGGATGGTGGTGGTGGAGCGGTGTCCACAGACACAGAGAGTGGTGGTGGAAGGGTGTCCACAGACTCAGAGGGTGGCGGTGGTGGTGGTGGAGAGGTCTCTACAGATTCAGAGGATGGTGGTGGTGGAGCGGTGTCCACAGACACAGAGAGTGGTGGTGGAAGGGTGTCCACAGACTCAGAGGGTGGCGGTGGTGGTGGTGGAGAGGTCTCTACAGATTCAGAGGATGGTGGTGGTGGTGGTGGTGGTGGAGGCGTCTCCATGGACATGGTGTTGTTTGGGGTGTTTTCTTCGATAACCCCGTTGGTAGGGATGTTTGAGGTTTTATCAACAGTATCTTGATTCTGGATCGTTGGGTATTGGGTAGAATTATGGAGGGCATCGGATTCGTCACCGTTGCTTTCTTCGATATTTGTGTCGAGCAGTGCGAGATCGTAGGATGAAGGAGGCTCAGATGACGACGACAGTGGTGATGGTGGTGGTGGTGGCTCGGTGGACAATGGTGGTGATGGAGGGGTCTCGACGGACATGGTTAATGCTTTAAAGAAACGAAGAGAGAGAGAGAGTTCTTTTGGATCTACCAGAAGCAGTGAGAGGCTGGAGGACAGTACCTGTATTTATCAGTGGGAGAGACAAAGACCAACCCATCGAAGTCAACTCTCTGGCATTTAGCTTCAAACTCCTAATTCCACATTTAGCCTGCCTCACTCCATTCCATTTTTATTCCTTGAGTAATATTTCTTAAACTTAATTTCTTCATCTAATTTTTTAATTAAATCAATTTATTAGATATTTACACATCTCAGCCCATTAAGTTTTGGATAAGGCCACCTTTAATTTTAATTAAATAATTTATAATCATTAATAAAATAATAATAATATACATATTTTCAAAAAAATTATTTTAGTACCAAAACCAAAAATTACCAAACTCTTATGACTCATTTAGTAACGTTTTTGTTTTTGTATTGTCAAAACACAAAAAAATATAGAAAATTTTTGTTTTATTTTGCGTCAAACACCAAAAACAAAAACTTGTTTGAGAGTATTTTATATTTACCAAATTATGAAATTAAAAATAACAAATATTATTTGATAATTTTTTCAAATTATGTTTGGTAACCCAAACTCACACACAGACCACATTCGTTTCCCTCCCCCTATTCTCTGTTACTTTGTCTTCTCTATAACACAATAAACACACCCTCAACCAAATCACACCCCACCCCACCTAGAATTCACACACCCCCTCACGCAAAAAAAAAGAAATCACAAACGCATACGAAGAAATCACAAAAATCACACATAGACACAAAAATTTGACAACGATAGAGGCAGCGATGAAGAGAAAGGGGCTGCAATCGAGTGGGATGAAGAGAGAAGGGCAGTGATGGAGGTGGAGGCAGAGGCGGAGGCGGAGACGAAGACAGAGACAAAGACAACGATAAATCGTCTGCTCGAATACAAAGAAATAATAAAAGAAGAGAGAGATAAGCGATGGGGAGGAGAGAGATGATGAAATGATTTTTTATATTTCGACAAAAAAAAATAGTTTTGTTTTGTTGCTAATAGGACTCAAATCTCAAATCTCATTAATTCTTCACCCTTTACGCGTACTGTCTCTGTTTCCAGTGTTTCTTGGAATATCTTTTTTTTGTTCTCATTTTTTGGCTTGTTTTTAAGACAATTGAGGTGAAATAAAAACAAAGACGATTACCAAACATGTGTTTTTTTTTAGGCAAAAATTAAGAATAAAGACCAAAAACAAGAAACAAAAACAACAAAATCTTACCAAACGACCCGTAAATCCTCAAGTTTTTGAGGTTTCCAAACAAACCCTAAACCCTTAAGTTTTTGATGGTTTTGTCTTTCTTTTTATGTGAGCTTGACCCCAATAATATTGGATCTGGAGTTAACTATTTATGTGGACCATAAATTATAGTATTTGTGTTAATCAAGCCTTGAATTATACTTTGTATTAATATAACTCATGAATTATAACATTTGTGTCAATATGACCCTTCTGTCCAAATTTATCATTAAATTTGACTGAATTTTTCACGTGTACAATATGTTACGTGATACACACGTAAAAAATTCTATCAAAATTATCTATGAATTTGGACGGAAGGGCCACATTGACACATATAATATAGTTTAAAAATTATATTGACACAAAATATAATTCAGGGACTTGATTGAAATAAATTATATGATTAGGCCAGGTAAATAAGCATGAAAAAAACTATAATTTGTCTCTATATTCCTTATTTTTCCAGCAAATAACAATTTATAAATACGCAAGACTTTGATAAATATCATAAACAGAGTTCACACTTCAGCTTTAATGTCTCGAATGCTATTTTTTAAGGAAAGAACTTCCTATAAATATATATATTTGTTTTGGATTAAGGAGGTGTCTTATTAGATGAAGAAAAATATGATTGGTTCCCTCAGGTATTGCCTTCCCCATATGACTTAAAGTGAAAATATTTGTTAATTTGTGCCCACTTGGTCCTTTTGGTCATCAAGTTGGGTTTCATAAAATATATGTGTGTGTGTGTGTGTGAGAGAGAGAGAGAGAGAGAGACATTTGAATACATCCCCCCAGGATGCATGAATTACATAGTTTCTTTCTGTTCATATTGTATATTTCACTAACAAGTTGTTGGTTCACTAGGAAAGAAGTTGGATTTTCTCGCTGTTTGGATTCGAGTTTTTATAGTTATCACAGTTCTTTAGAGTTAAATTTGATGTTCAACGTCCAGAGCACGGAGTAGAGCTTTAGTTTCATCCTGACATAGGTGCAGTGGGGTTTCCTACAGATAGTTGTGTGGTGCTGATAGACAATACTCCCTGTCGGATATGTAGAGTGGTCTATCTGCATATCCATATTTCTATACCCAAAAAAAAGTTGTATATTTCTATTTTTTTTTGTTAGTAAATGGCAACAAATCATTTTATATATTTAAATAGCAGGCATCCCAAAGTATATATTTGAGTGTTTCATATATATATTTTGATAGATATTTTATATTTAATTTTCACTATATATCCCACCATCATCAACGATATATAAACTTGATGAGATCGACAAGATATTCATTGTTTTATCGGGGTTTGAGGCCACTCATAAATAATAGCAAGAATTAAAAAAAAAAAAAGTGCATAATGCAGTATTTTTTTTGATATTTTCCTTAAGGCATCAAGAAATATATTGTGACTTGTAGGACCAAGGTATAGAAATTTTCCACCGAAGCTGACATACTAGCTACCTGGATTTTCCAACCAATGCAGCCTTCCAAGATTGGAACTTGATGAATTTCCATTAGAGTTGTTGAAAGAAATACCAAGATATCCAATTTTCGGATGTTGGAGTGCGAAGACATTAAAAAATTGTCACGTGCCAGAATTTGAAAAAGAGGTGAAAGATAATTAGTCATGACTTTGTTTGAAAAAGGAGAGTAATTGCTTAAAAGTTACAAGCCAATTAACTATCGATAGATAGAGAAATTGTCAAATGGAATGGTTATAAAAGGCGGACAAGAAAGAAGCAAAAATACAATTCAATCCTCTATAAGACCCATGATCAGCGCATATCAAAAGATTTGTACTTGGGGGATATCTATGCAGCCAGTGATTGAACCGGATTATGTCCAGTTCATAACCTGTATCACCTTGTTTGTTTGGTAAATTGAAACAATATTAAAAAGAGCAAAGCCAAAAGAATATACACTGGGAAGCATCTCTACGGCAAACGATAGATAATATGATTCGATCAAATGGTTCAAGACAGGCTACAACAAAAGGACATCACCAATACATTAGTACAACATACTATTGTTTCGGCTACTTCTCCACAATTAGTTTAGCCCTTGCATTGCCTTCATTTATTTGGAACTGATCACCCAAGCCAAGATGAGCCATCAATAACCACACCACACTGATAAGCTGTCCACCACTACTCAGTTGTGCAGCATGCGCATTTGCTCTGCAATGACAGGCAGCATAGGACAGCAATTCCACCCAAACTTTGCTCATTATTTCCCATTTGTCGGGTTCACCATCTTTCCCTTCTAACTCCTTCAATTTTTTGGCCAGCAGGCAAGCGTCGAACAACACAGATTTGCTTCTATCCCCCTTGACAGTAACAGGTTTTACTTCTGTATTAACAGCAAGGATATTTCTGCAGGCCTCTTTCTGTTGTTCAACCCAATCTAATTTCTCTTTTCCGAAGAATTTCATGACTCGGAGATAACACGGATAGGCTTCAAGCAGTACCTGTCCCTGTTCTGCTTTTGCTCCACCAAAGGGTTTCTTAACAGCATTGAAAATTAGAATGGGAGGAAGAATGAAAAATAGAAGAAGATATTTGAAAAAACTTAAAATTACGTAAATGATAACTTCACAGATATTTGCCTCATCCTGTCTCCCTCTGAAATTTCCTGTTCCAAAGAACTTCTTGGCCTCAGCACAGGTATCTTGGAATCGTATTTGCCCAATACCTGCCACTGCAGACATCATTGTAGGCTGCATAACTACAAGATACAGCATGTAATCTGAGAGGAGCTTGGAAATTTTACGAAAATCCTTCTTTTGTTCCTCGTTTCCATCCACGTTTCGATCCTTGTTTGGATCTTTGTTTGGATCGTGGACATCATCAGTATTATAGCAGAGTTCAGTGGCGATGTGCCACAGAAGAAGGCTCTCATCATAGTCAACGTCAAGGATCCAAGGGAGGAAGCGGTTGCAATTTTTGACCCGATTTTCGACTCGAAGAATCCAATCACCTCTGGATGAACATATCTCCTTGGCCGTTTCTAAATCATCTGCTATCTCAGATTTTGCTAACAGCTCATCAAATATGTGGTCTCTTAATTCATCATTGAATGGCTTGCTTCCCACATACTTCAACCCATCAAGAAAGTTTCTAAGGCCCAAATAGCCAACCAATTTGTCTTTCACTAACCGGCGTGGATGCAAACAAAAATATATCAAGTTGTAAGTTGAAATAGATTCAGACCACCTGCGCCTCATGAGTCGCATAAGCCTATTAAAGCAACTGACATGAGACTTTGTTGGCTCTTCTTCAGTATAAGTGTCCTCAGGCATATTCTCAACCTTATTTTCAGGTAATTTATGAAGTGCAACAACAGTCCTATCGGAAAAAAGAAACATGGCGAGAGCAATTACATCCAAGGCAATGGCACCAAGTAGCAGGGTGTAAGTAATCCCAACATCAAACCCCTTGAAATTGTCCTTTTTTTTGGAATGGAAGAGCACAAGAGCTACAACAACTGAAGTGATGGAAATAAACCGGAATATGTATCCTAATCCACTATGCACCACACTGACCTTGGTATAGAGGACTTCATAAATGAAATTGAGTTCAACCTCTATCACTTTAAAAGCATCTTTTGCTGATCTCTTGAGGAAGAACTCTCGGCTTTGGTTGCGCTCACGGAAGCTGAATATGAGATCAACAATAAGCCCCTTGAAAGATTCAAAATTTCGGTAAGCATAGTGCACCACCTCCAAATCTGTCAATGGACCTTCTTTGACTTTATTGACAGCTTTGGTTACTCTATCAGGTTCTGCAATCATTTCTATCCGTGTTGGTAGCCTTGCCTCTTTCTTGGAGTAGTATTCATCCATGAGCTTAGCATAGTTAGGCCCAGGGTTAGGTTTTGTATTCATGGATTCTCGGAAGCTATCCATGCTTGCGAGATACAGTGACCGCGTCCGCTCAGCATACTTGATGATTCCTGCTAAAAGCATAAGAAGTGTAGGGATCCACAGCTTGTTGGGAAGTGACTGAATGAAGACATAGACTGCAGCCAGACACTGTACTAATAGCGCAAGCAGGTGCCGCAGCCAAAGCTCATTATCCTCCAAAGCAAAAGCAGTTATAGGATCCGGGCCACCAAGGTGCACCAGAAGAAAGGGAGCCCAAAATGCCAGGAGGTCAGCATTATTATCACCAGAAGTTTTGCCTTGGCTGTTGGAGATGAGTCCCACTGCAAAGCCAGCAGCCCAATCTGCAAGCAAGTATGCTGACCAGAGAGGCATGATTACCCACTTGCTGGCCGTTCTCTTTCTCAAGGAAGAGAAAAAAATCAAAAAGGTTTGCAGTGAGAGGCTTAAGATAATGAAAGACCGAATATCCCATATCTCCCATAGCTTCTTCCAGCCTGGGGGAAGGATTTCCATACCCTTCTCTGGGTCTTTTACACTCTGCTTTACCCTGGTGAAGCAAAAACCTTGTTGGTTTAGGTGTCTAATGAGCACAAGCATAGTTCAAACATAGGAATGGTAATAGATATGTTGTTTGTGAGTGAGAGTGAATGGATAAGCACATATGCACCAATTGCTATTTACAAAAAAAGTCAATTCCTATCTGGTACTATAAGACTCTTAACCACTATTTCTTGCACCCAACATTCTTCTCCTCCGATTTTTGACTGTTGTTACATTTACTATTAAGTGACCATTGACCAATTAAATTAAATGCTTCTAGCATGGGATTTTAATATTTAAATATCTCCATCTCTTCTCCTCAAAAAAAATAAAAATATCTCCATCTCATCGAGCTGGCTGGGTTATATACTTTCTTCATCTATATAATATGCGAATTAAAAGTTTGAATTTTATTCTCATATATTTTTTATGTTTATTTATATTACATCACTTATTTTTATCACAAGTTAAATTATTTAATTTTTGATTAATTTGTGACCCAATTCTATATCATAAAAGAGTTAGGCATTTAAATTTTATCCCTAAATATTTTTTCTGCCCATTTTTAAGTCATGTATTTTAAGAAAATGTTGTCAATTTTTATTTTAAAAAATAATGGGTAAAAATTAATTTCAAATTAAATAATTAAAGAAAGGGAATGAAAGACAATGTTTATTTGATACAGTGAGATCTACTTTTTTATTGTTCAAATTTTATGTTACATTGTATTTTCAAACACGGATCGAGCTATTGCTAGTGATTGAATAAGAGAGATGACGATGGAGCGAGCTAGTCAGCAGAACTAAGATAGTACACGAAAAACAAATCAAAGTAAACATAAGACTAACAGGAAGACTTTATCCTTCCATAAATTTACCACGCAAAATCCCTCTTCAAGATAAAATCTCACAATCATATGTACCAGAGCTTAAAAGAACAACATGTAGCTGCACATAATGTATTGATGCATAATTAACAAGTATTTAAGTTGAAAACAATTTAGGTGACCTTTAAAAGCATATCAAGTAGATGCTCAGAATCATCTTGAGGAACACGAGAAAATATTAAATGTAACGGTGACACTATGTCACACGTGTGGTCATCATCTAATAACAAATTAACACGTTGGCAAGTGGACTTATAAGTTTATTATTAGATTGTAACACTATGTGACAATGGCGAGGTGGTGTCACCGTTACGCCAGATTGGCATCAGAAACAAGAATATCACACACACCCACAAATCTCTTAGGATGATTTGAGAAGGAAGTAAAGGAAAGAATACCGTGCGCAAGTCCTCCTGAGTAAGTCTAAGTATTCTTACCTTTATCTTTTTCCTATTTGGTCTTTCCCACACTTCATCAAAATCTGATCCTACAAGGTCTGATTTTAAAGCAAAGTTCTTTGTTCATTATAAAATCTGGCATTCAGCCATTTCCTCAGATTTCCAAACAGAAATAGGATATCTAAGGTCTGATAATCCTTCCAAAACAACTTGGTTTTCGTAACCTTGAGAGGGTAACTAAGGAGGGCCTTAGAGAATCCTGAAATGGGTGGAGAGATTCAAGAATACCTGATGAAAAAACTCGATGAGGCAATCAAAGACCCAGCGTTCACTGAACAGAATCTATATGCCAAAATACAAGAATTGAAGGACTTGCTTTTAAAAAAGGGAAGGTCCCCCCTGGAAGCAGAGCAAGAAAAAAGCAGGGAAAAACTCTACCAGCTCGATAATGTATTAACCGAATGGCAGATGAAATCAAAGAAGAAGGGTTCATACACTCCTAAGGCACTACATTCTTGTCAACTCAGTAAGTTATTAAAACAGATCAAAGCAGATCTCGAAAAGAAAATTAAAAGTGGAGTTTCAGAGGGAGGTAGTACTCAACCAAGCAATAAAGAGGCGAGCTTGCCAAACGAACCAGAAGGGAGCTTGCCAAACGAACCAGACGGGAGCTTGCCAAAGCAACCAGAATCGTACCGATGGAGTTCTCAGCACGTAGATCCAGAAAAGGTTCACGGGCTAGAAGATAAAGCAATGACCCTGGAGAGAATCCTTGTCCGAGGAGACAGAACGACCACTTCAAGGCAATTGGGATTGTTGGGATTGCTGGTGTTGGGAAAACTACGCTTTGTCAATTTCTTCTCACCCGGCAGGCGGTGACGGATCACTTCCTTCCAAGGATCTGGGTATGTATGTCAAAACAACCCGATGAAGATTCTGACAACAGGAAAGAGATCGTTAGAAGAATGTTGACAGCTATCGGAGTTGAAGAGGAAATCATCGATTCTGCAGACAATACTCCTGGCCCTGCTGGGCTACTCTCTGCTCTTCGACTACAGTTGATGGGTAAGAGGTACCTGATTGTTCTTGACGACGCTTGGAACTCCGACGACTTCTATCAACAGCTGAATTCTCGATCAACTCAGGCTAGGAATGTTATCGAAAACCTTGCTTGCAGTTTGCCAAAAGGGTATGGCGGAGCAGTGATCGTCACAAGCAGATCTGAAGAACTAGTAAAGAAAATGGTGGGTGAAGAAAACTTGCATCGCCTTCCACCAACAGATACAGAGAGCTGCTGGAAGATATTCAAAGACTCGGTTCAGGAAGATGGAAAACAATTCCCACAATACTTGGAAGAGCTGAAATATGAAATTGTTAGCAAGTGTTCTGGGCTTCCATTAGCTGCAAAAGTGTTGGGTCAAATTGTGAATGAAAACTCCAAAACAGAACTCTACTGGGGGCGACGGTGATCAACAAAAACAAGTGGAGAAAACAGGCTAGAGAGCAGAATGGTTTCTTGTACTTGTTTGATTGACTGTTTGTTTCATTTTGTACCTGCTTCTACTTCCCCATTTCCTTCCACTTTCGTTCAATCTTACCAGTCTCTGTCTCTGTCTCAGTCTCAGTCTCAGTCTCATTTCATCATAATTGTGCTCGAGTATGGTGTCTTTGATTAATCAAATGAAAGACTATGGTGTGGAAAAAGCTGACCACACGGCTTCAATGCAATTGAGAAACGTGAAAGACTACTGTACGGTTGAGGATACCTGCTGTTAAAAAAATTTGTTATCGATTAAAAGAGTGTCACGTTATTTTATTAAATAAAACAGGTTTAATTATAAATTGAATCCCAAAAGTTTTTTTAAATCTTAATTTACACTCTCGTAGATCAAAAATTTTAATTTGTATATTCAAAGATATAAATTTGTATCAATATACACCTGAAACTAACTGCTGTTCAATTTGCAGTCTATATAACTTAAATGAGTAAATTACACCTAGAGCCCTTCATGTTTGTTATTCAATCACTTGAACTCCTCACATTTGAAATATAGTTGTAATATTCTAAATATGAGGAATTCAGTGATTAAGTGACAAACTTGTGGGAATTTAAGTGTAATTTACTTATTTAGTTTTAGACGACAAATTGAACGATTGTTTGTTTCAGGTATAAATTGATACAAATTTATATTTTTGAGAGTATAAATTAAAATTATTAATCTTCAAGTAAAATTCACGGGATTTTTCAGAGTGTAATTTACGATTAACTCAATAAAACGACGTTATTTTTATCAACCGTACATCCACATCTCAAAATTGATAGCAGAGGAGTTGGACCCTTACTATACCTTCTTCGGACAATTATAACTTGAGTCAAAAGTAATAATTTTTTGAAAGCGTAAATTAGAACTTGTAAAGGAAGGATACGGTCAATTTCAAAATTTTCTGATGAATAATAAAAATTATAACTTTTAATTGTTAAATTAAAACTTTTAAAAGTTGAATCATAATCCGTAAATAAGAAATTATAATTGATTAAAAAATTCATAATCAATCATGATATTTCATGAATGAACTTGAACGAATAAAATGTGTCCCTTGTTATTCAAAATGACATCGTTTTTATGTATAAAATGAGTAAGGCTGTAGAGCAACCAGGGCCAATCACTTGTATGATAAATTATGAGTTAGGTACTCTCAATTTCACATTGTCTGTCTTGACTATAAGTCTTCTTATTTAATGAAATATTAATCACTACAATCCATCTTCTTTAGAACCACAAATAATTGTGTAGGACCCGCTTCGCTTTTGGATTGATGATAAGTTTTTTTTGGTTCAAAAGTCATTCGAACCAAGTTACGCGTATCTTAATTAATTTTTTATTTGATCCGATTAAAAATATGTCATCCACGTCAAAATTAGGGTATTTACGAAGGATAAATCCTAGATGACTTAGTCGTAAGAGGTTATCAAAATTCAAACTTAAGATATCTAAATTTAAAATAAAACAATGCTACTTGAACTTAAAATGCTGACTTAATCAATCATTATCATTGATTTAACTGCAGTTCTAATATTTATTGTGACTTATTATCTATTCAATAATTATGATTAATCAAGTGAGTATATTAAATTCAAATAACATTTTTCTTTAAATGTATTGTTCAATAAGACAAATCTTTATAAAGCAGTATAGACATGCTATTGAAACAACCGAGATCCAAAACTAAAGATTTTTTGGGCATGTTTGGTACGTGGGTTTTGATGATATTTAAAGGGTGAGTGTTTTGAAAAACAATATAATCACAAACAGACCCTGTAAGTTTGGGATTAAGATATAAGAGGCGATGTAAAGATATCAACCAAATATAATTTTGAACCATGTAGCTAATTTTAAATCTTAATTATACAATCAATTTTAGAGTCATTTTAGCTAGGCTTCCCGAGTCTTAGCGAGATTGTATCAAAAAATATTTCACTAATATTTTATTTGTTTATTAATTCGTGTATAACAAATCGTGTCATATTAATTTCATTTCATGTATGAACCATATATAACTGATATATAAACAAGTCATATAGTGTATTTTCTTTTAATTAGTTTCACTTATACCTGATTTATTTATTAATCGTATCGTATCAGGTCTACTCATTTACTTACGAATAATTTAAAAAAAGCTTAAACTCTCTAATTTTATGTCGTATTCATGTCGAATTAACAAATCGTCTCATATTTTGAGACTCTTAATTATGAGCCAAAAAGAAATGACTAGTCATTGTATAATGAGCATCCAAGACTTCACATGGTTACACCTCAAACTACGCATAGGTAACCACCAAGGCATTTCCTAGTAATTGCTAACTTGAAATTAGTAGTTGTGAGCTAATAATATCGTTAGTCAAGCTTTAATAATAATAAATAATAAAAAAAGACCAGCAACCAAAAAACAGAAAAACGACCAAGACTCCAAGATGTGACTTCTTTTGTCCCATGGAAAAGTATCCACCTATCACCATCTTTACTCCTAAATAATCGCTCTAATTTCGGTTAAGTCCCTAAAACAAAATTTCATTTCAATTTAGCCCGTCTACCTTTTAATTTGAGTCAATGTAAACATTTAGTTGTACAATTTCCTAATGGAAAAGACACATGTATATCTCCAATAATTGTTCTTCCAAGGGTATTTTAGACTGAGTTATAAAATATCTCAATTGCCCAAATTCAAACCCAATTTCTCTATCCATACACCAACCCGATTACCCTCCTATTCTTTTCTCCTTGCTTCCTGCACCACCATCTCTCTGTGCTGAAGCACACCACCAGGGGCGGAGCCAAAATTTATGTGTAGTGGAGACGAATTTATAAATAATTGTTATATCAAAATCATAACGTTGAAGTTATTCAATTTATCATAAATATGTTGATATGTTAATACTGGAAAACCAATCAATTAATTTATATTATTTCAAATATGATTTATAATAGCCAAAATTTAAATATAGAAACATTTAGTTATAAGAATATGAAAGAAAATTTAATCCATTATAAAAGATGCAAACTTGAATTTCAAGAGATCAATCAAAAATAATTTAATCAATTGCTATTAACTCTAGAATTCAAATATAGAAGTGTAATTCCATAAGAAATTCATAGACAACTATAACAAAATGAAAAAAAAAATCAAATATTTCGTATAAAGAGTAATTTTTTCTATTTTTTAAAATAAAAAAAGCAATCAGTGATTAGAAACATTGTGTAAACTTGGGAATTAGCTTCTCCACAATGAAATTTAGACTACCTACCACTCTTACCAAAATTTAACTGGAAGTTTCAAAACATGTGCTGCCACGAAACTCAGAGGAACCATCGTAGTAATATTTTTTTTTGGTGGCCAGCTAGGATTAGGTATATAATAACAATCAAGACAATATTTAACTAATAAATAATTTATTAAAAACACCCATTTGCAAGAACTTCAAACGTAGGACCTTTTGAAAGCTTTCATTTCATTGGCGGTTGAGTTACATCAATGGACTTTATTACTGCATGCCTACACTGTAGTCTACTCCTACCTACCACATTCTTTGGAAGTACTTGGAAATAAATAAGGCCTGCTAGCTTGTCATGTGCTCTCGTCTTTTTGATGGACCATATCATACAAACGTTCAATAATAAGACCAGATCATTCGAATGTTTTTCATCCAAATTTGTATTTGCATAATTCCAGATGGGTGAATAGACTTTTATGATAAACAAGAAGATACCTAAACTAGAAACCCATACTGGGGCCTTATTAAAAATTTTAAATTAAGCTCTATTAATATATTTTACAATAATATAAATAATTGTCAAAAAATAAATTATTTAATTTTTTTATTTTTTTAGATTCAAAAATATTAATTGAATTTTTAAATTCAAGTTTTATACATTAAAATTCAATTAACAAAAGTCAAATCCTTGATCAAACATAATTAAGTTAATTTTCTATTAAAGATAATGAAAAAGAGAATGAAAATTTAAATTAACTAACAAAATCAAATTTTTTCTGAACAAATGTAAAAGTTAAAATTTGTGTAAGTTAAATGGTATTAGAATGTGTGAAACATGTTTCAATATTACATAGAACTATCGAAATGTTTTAATTAAGAAATTTTAGCAAGACAATTATGGTTATAATTAGTTTCAGATAGTGAGATACTTTTACTCACTCTATTTTATAGTCATTTTTATATGCTTTTAAAAAATAATTAAGTAAAAATCTATCCTAAATTTGAAGTAACCTCAAATTTAATCTAAAAAAATATAAAGTTATAATTTATAACTATTAGTTTATAGACAATGAATTATACAATTTTTTTTTTGATAATAAAATAGAAAAATATTTTATTAGGTGATAACACATATTTTGAAAGAAATTCTAAAAATTTTACAATATTATTACTTGTATTTAATCTAAGGACCTAATTTTGACACTTAATAAATTATGGGTATTTGATTTTTAGTAAACTTATTCAATGGTGTTTTTTCTTAGTAATTTAATGGTAAAAATGCATTAAGTTCTCAAATTAAACCCCAAATTAAGTCTAGTAAAATTGTATATTTTGTTTGGTCAAACTAGTAAAATTATATACAAATTTAATTTGAGGCCCCAAATTTTTTTTTTTTCCATTTGGGGGCCCTAGGCAATGACCTTAATGGCCTAGTGCGTGGGCTGGCATTGCCTATAGTTTAAAGTATCAGCCAGATAAGACTCGCCGTATCGAATTTGGTTGATCCAACACTATTCTATCGTTCTATGTAAACAATGAGTTTTACTTGGCTCGTCCGAGTCGTTTGAGATGTCATTGAGTCAATGATTTGGACCAAAAAGATATCAAATTCTCTTTTAGGTGCTTCAACTGTGGTATAGGTAAAACAAAATCATACAAAAAACCTTTTGTATAAAGTTCAAATGAATTGAGATAGAATAGATCGATGATCCTATAGTGATTTGGCCGGCATTAAAAGAAAAAACTTGCATTTGCTCCCTTTTATATAACCGGCACCATCTCTCCTCAAACCTAATGTGGTAGTTTCACATCATTAGGCTTTTTATCTATAGATTGAGCCATTATAGCCTGGATTTCTAGTCTTTTTCCACTGTTATTATGTAATGCCACGATTCATGCATCTCGGTGCTTTCTAAATTGATGACTAATATTACGACCTCGAACCATGTAGAAACCCCTGGGATGATCCCGAATTTTTGCTACCCTTTTGAGTGAAAACAAGTCTTGGTGCAGTAAATGTCAAACATAAATGCTTATCTGGATATGGAGGAAAATGCTCAATTATATTGACTGTTTGTGTTGTCATTGATGAAAACAGAGAGTACATGGACTGCCTCGAGTTGCTCGACTATAAACTAGATCTGTGATGATTAATGGAGACAATTTTAAGCTTCTTGATACCTCAAAGATGAAATGGTACTGAATGAGTGCTGCTTCTAATGTTCCTCCATCAGGCTATATGTTTTTCTTTTTTAGAAGTCAGAAGATTGCTGCAAGGAATGTGATGGTGAAATAATTACGCAAATGAGTTCTTGGACATGGTGCAATGTGCTGGCATTGGAAACACTTGTTCTACATAGGGAAAATTCCAGCAGTTTATGGCAATTTGGTCTACAAGGGTCACTCTGTTTAATTCAACCCAACTCAATAATGCATTCCAAACATTATCGGGATTAGCCAAATGGGTGATTTTTGAGTGCAGGTTGTACTAAATGACTCCAGATCACGTAGAAAAAGAACGAACCATTGACTCCTCCACTATATGCATGGAGGCATAGGGACTACTTCCTTAACAGATTGCATATCTTGTCCAAAAGGCTTTTTCACTACCATTATTTATTGAATTTGATCTACACTGAACTTCATCTTCAAAAATTCATGACATGTAATATTTCCAGGTTATAACTATGAGGTCAATGTTTATCTGCTGTTCATGAAGAGTAACTTACTCCATCAGTGAACAAAAAGCACATTCAAATCATGAATTCTCAAAACCAGAGACAACATGTCTTGCTCTATGTTTCTTCTCATTGCAATTTTCCTCCAAATATAATACTGACATACATTAACCGCATTTGTTTAACCAATGTGACATTGATGGATGATTCTTGCAGATACAGTTATGACCAAAAGATTCTTGGGTGGCTTTCATTGATAATTGAAACAAACATGTATAGGAAGGAATTGCTACATGGTGTCGTGAATCCAACAATGATAACAGCAATCAGGATACGAGAAACGAAATTCATCCAGAATATTGGACAGCCAATTCGTAATTTGAAAGGAAAAAGATTTTGCAAATTCACAATGCAATCTCTTACATTACAACTGGTTTACATCTGCTTTAGCATTGTCTTGTTCATCCACACTCCACTCTCATTGCAGGGAAAGAAACTGAGTTTAGGACATTTTACTTTCTCCAAGTAAATCAAGTTGGGGAATAGTTCCCGCAGTTCTCTCCAATCCATCTCCAATTCACTCAAGTACTTCAGACGCAATTGCTCAACTTTCCATGTATCCTTCACCAGACAGTCTGCATCCCAGCTATCATCAAGGTCCTGAAATTGACCAAGATCATAGAATTTTCCTCCTCTGATGTAGAGTTTCTTCAGGCCCTTTAGATTGGCAGGATTTAGCCAACCGGGTGTAACTTTCTCAGGATAACACTTAAGGTCCAGTTTCTCCAGTTGTGAAGGAAGTGTTGGAAGCTTAAAGGCATTGGCTTGTCTCAAAGCTTTGCGCACCTGTTGTTTCTTGGGAGTAGCTCTTAATCCACCGTCTTTCTTTTTACCTTCACGAGGTTTGCCTTCAGCTTTACCTTGTAAAGCACCCCCTCCCCAGGCTATTGTTAGCTTGAGGAGTGCCTGAAGTTGTTGAAGAGCACTCACATGGCTATCAGTTGGGAAGTTCTTCATGCCAGAGTAAATGCTCAACTTTCTAAGCCTTGGTAGTTTTGCCAAATCGTCAAGAGTACATGAATGCTTGCCCTGCATATCTCCAACTACAAAGCCCTTAAGGACTCGGAGTTTCGTAAGCCTCGCCAGCTTCTTGGGCATGTGTTCAAGCAAGTAACACTCGGACATGTCCAAGTGTGTCAAATTCTCGAGCAGCCCAATTCCTTCTGGAATCACCTCAAGACTATGACAGGCTCTGAGATCCAAGATTGTCAAATACTTGAGCTTTGAAATGGATTCAGGAAGCTCAGTGATTCCAGAGATCCCTTGAAGACTGAAAAATCTCAGATGTTTCATATTCTCCAAGCCTTCCAAAAACTTGGCGTCCTCAACTTCAACATGCTGAGTAGCCGAGGCTTGCCACCTTCCCAGATAAAGAACATTGACATTGCTCATCTTCAACAACCACTCTGCCTTTAATTCAAGATTAGCCTCTTTAACATTGAACAACATATGAAGTTTCTCCAATTCTGCAATATAAACTAAGCCTTTCCCCGACAAGCATGCCCGGTAAGAACTCAAGAATTCCACAGTTGGATATCCCTTAAGATCAAAATCGAAGAACTTGGCCTTCTCGGCAAGTATAACTACTACAGAACGTATAAAAGGATGCATTTTGCAACTGCCAATAATGAGACTACCCTTGTTATTGACCGGCTCGATAAAACCCAATTCCATAAGCTTGTCAAAGAATTCTTTGCCATATTCCTCTGCAGTTTTCTGGTTCTCAATGCCTTCACCTGTTCTTTTTATTGGTGGTACAAAACCTTCTCCAATCCACCAATAGACCATGAGCCTCTTCTTTATGATAGCATCTTCAGGGAACACAGAAAAACACAGCAAACAAAGCTTCAACTCAATGGTGAGCCCTCGGTAACGTGACAATAAATCTTGAAATTCCAAGCTGTTCACAAACATGTTTGCCTTGTATAATTGAGGCATTTTGTCGAGCACTTCTTGGGGAATGTCTCCCTTGCTTCTTGTAGCATCACTTGATTGATGATTTCCATGTGGGTCTTTTTCTGCATCAATCTTGTATTTTGAAGGGACCTTAAGCTTCAATTTGGTCACGACCTTCTTTAATTCCCGAAGGTCCTTCTCCTTTCCACCCTCTTTAAGCTTCTCGAATTTCTTCAATGCATCTTCGACTTGTTCATTCACACGACCTTTGTACTCCTCCAGCTTCTCCGATACAACCTTAATGTGTTCTAAATCAGAACTTATCAAGTTGGAAAGTGTTTCTTTTTCATCATGGATTTTACTGCTGCTGTTCTTTTCACTGTGGTCTTTTGGCTTGACAACTGACTGCTTTTTGTACTTGGAGGTAAAGCTATCTCGTAAAGTCCTGACTGAGAAGTTCTTGATCTTAGCTTTAATGGAGGAACCCGGCTTTTTCCCCGGTTTCTCATCAGAGTTTTGGTTCTGGGCCGTTGGGACTTGGGTAAAATTATGGAAGGAAGAGGACTTGTTGAGGGAAGGAAGCTTAGAGGATGGTGGTGGTGCAGGGGTCTCGGTGGGCATGGTGGTGTTGTGATGGGTATCGCTAAATCCGGTGGTAGAATTAGGGAAGGAAGAGGAATTGTTAGTGGTGTTTTCTTCGATAATTTCGTTGGTAGAAATGTCAAGGGAAGGAAGCTCAGAGGATGGTGGTGGTGGAGGGATCTCGATGCGCATGGAGGTGCTGTGGTGGGTGTTGATAATTCCGGTGGTAGAATTTGGGAGGGAAGAGGAATTGTTAGCGGTGTTTTCTTCGATAATTTCGTTGGTAGAAGTGTCAAGGGAAGAAAGCTCAGAGGATGGTAGTGGTGGAGGGGTCTCGATGGGCATGGTGGTGTTGTGGTGGGTGTCGATAATTCCGGTGGTAGAATTAGGGAGGGAAGAGGAATGGTTAGCGGTGTTTTCTTCGATAATTTCGTTGGTAGAAGTGTCAAGGGAAGAAAGCTCAGAGGATGGTGGTGGTGGAGGAGGGGTCTCGACGGACAGAAGCTCGGAGGTAGGTGGTGGTGGTGGAGCGGTCTCGGTGGACATGGTGTTGGTGGAGATGTTTTCTTCAATAATTCCGTTGGTGGAGGTGTCTAGGGAAGGAAGCACAGAGGACGAAGATGGTGGTGGAGGCGTCTCGGTGGACAGAAGCTCAGAGGGTGGAGGTGGAATCTGGGAGGGCATGGTGTTGTTGGTTGCGTTTTCTTCGATAATTCCGTTGGTAGAAGCTGTGAGGGTTTCATCATCAGTGTTTTGGTTCTGGATCGTTAGAATTTGTGTAGAATTTTGAAGGGAAGAGTTATTATGGGTGCTCATCTCGGTAATTACCTCAGAGGATGGTTGCTCAAAGGACGGCGGTTGTGGAAGGGTGTCGATTGACCTGGCGTTGTTGGGATTGTTTTATTCTGTAGCTCCGTTAATGGAAGGCAGCTCGGAGGATGAAGGTGGCTCAGAGGAGGCTGGTGGTAGTGGAGGGGTCTCGATGGGCATGGTGTTGTTTGGGGTGTTTTCTTCCACAATTTTGTCGGCAGAAGTTTTGGAAAATAACGGTGGTGGAGCTACAGAAGATGGTGGTGGTGGTGGCGGTGGCGGTGGCGGTGGCGGCGGAGGGGCAGAAACGCAACCAAGTCAACTATGGGTCATAGGATTTTTCCTGCACAGTATAAGCAAGTGATATTTTTTTAACAAATACATCAAAATTTAATTTAGTGATGAATTTAGAGGGATTGAGTCTTCTAAATTATTTGGAGAGATTATGATACTCGATCCAAGTTTCTCCACCTGAACAATTCACCTTCACTAACAAACCACTCTTTCTTAGATTCCTAACGGGTTCGGGGAATTTTTAAGTTAAGTCAATTAATTTTATTCAATGGTATTATTGATTGTTTTGTACTCCTTCTGTTTTTAAATGTCTGAAATTTAAAATTTTTACACAGGAATTAAAATAATATTAAATAACTCTAATATGAATAAAAAATAATTGCACAAGATTAAAATATCATTGCTTAATACGTATTAGAAATGAGAAGAATATAAAAAACACTTAATCTCCATAAAATCTAATACATTAAAAAGTTAAGGGTAAATTTAAAAGAAAAAATATTAATTATATTTTAATTTTATTAAACAACAGATATTATAAAAAAAATTTATATAAAATGACATATATTTAAGAATAAAAATAAAAGGAGTAATATGAAGATATAATACAATTTTGACAATTCTTTATCGAACGGATTCTAATGGTATTGGATTTATGTGTAACACTTGCACATATTTGAAGGGTCCATGCGTAATTTCGTATGTCTAAGGAGGTGACCCAAGGGGTTCGTGTTCTAATTTTTTGTCAAATAATGTTATTCGAATTATTCTATCCAATTTAATGATTTAAGTTATTATTATTTTTAAATTAATATTGTATTTTGCAAGAGTCAACATAGCATGAACATGCTGGTCCAATTTTAGGAAGTGGCATTAAAGAAGTGTAGGATTAGTTTAAGGATGACTTGGAACCAATGTTATCGGATCGATCATCGAACAGGCAAGAGGACGGGTCAATGGTTCACTGGTTCAACCGTTAGGTCAACTGATCGGACCGATCATATAATAAAAAAATAAAAAAATATATATAATAATTATAAAACTTAATAATTTAGCTTAAAAATATATAATATGTATAAAATACATAAAATTTGCCATAAAATTAAGTAACAAAGTGGGGGTTATTGTATTTTAAAATAAAGTAAAGAGGTGCAAGTAAATTATAAAGAAAAAGAAAATGTGTCATTTATAATTTATCCAAGAATAAGGTTAAAAAAAATCAACTATCTATTGATTTAGGATAAAAAAAATTTATTTATGTAATTTAATATTTAAATAGGCATTAAACTGTCCGTTTTTTTTAAAACCGGCAATCGACTAATTTTTTGATTTTTAGCTGGTTCGTTTCCTTAAGCGGTTCAACTAAGGAACCGAACCAGTTAGGGTCCTGATTCACGGTTGAACCGGTCCGATTTGATTTTGATACCACTGCTTCAAACCAAATAAGAAGAAAAAAGAATATGCCCATAAAAAAAAGGGTGTTTTATAGTAGATCGATACCCGTAGCTTATTTAGCCAATGAGCAATGTTTTTAGGATCTAAAAATTTGACACAATAATGTGACTTCATTAGAATCATTTGATTAACACTAAGTTTTAATATTTAATGGAACTCAAAGTCATTCCAATGGTTTCAATAAAATTACATCATTATATCGCTAAAATATGTCAGATTTTTAAGTCCCAATAACATTATTTTTTAGAGAATACAAATTAGATGAAACTTTTATGAGTCGAGAGATCAACTTGAATTTAATAAAAATTTTAAACTATTTAGCCCAAGTTAATTCGAGCTTGATTTTTGACCAAAATCCTTCAATTCGAGTATTACCTATGCTTAGAGCCGACATGAAATTCGAATTCAATCAAATTTTGGTCATAGAACTTTACAAACTTAGTTTGAAATCATGGTGAATTCAAGTTCACTAATTTTTAGGGATACAAATTAGATGAATTTTTTGAGTTGAGAGATCAACTTGAATTTAATAAAAAATTTAAAATATTCAGCCCAAGTTAATCCAAGCTTGGCTTTTGACCAGAATTCTTCAATTTAAGTATTACCTATGCTTAAAGGTTTGAATTAGATTACAAAACTCCGGCTTGAAATTTGAATCCAATCAAATTCTAGTCTTAGAACCACACAAATTTAGGTTGAAATCGAGTTCACTAATTTTTGTTGGGTTTTAGTTTGATTCTGAAAATCCAAGAACCCTAAACTTATTTTCATGGGGCAGCCAAAGTTATTAAATCCAAGAACCCTGAACCCACCATGCCTTTCTTATTTATTCTTGATTTCTCAGTCTCTCATTAGTGCTATAGTATCGCAAAATTACGTTTCAACAAATAGAATTTTGTTATTTTATTGTTTTTTAATTATCCAAAACTACAAATAATGCAATCAAACTCTTTTGTTAAAAATTATTAATTATTATGACATCGAAAAATAATTTTTTGTTACCATGATACAGCATTAATGGACTTTGTCTTCGATCAATCTAGTTCATCTCACTAATTACATAGGTTAATTTCATGTTTTTTGCCCTTCTAGTTAAAAAAAAAGTGATCCGTCGCCCAATATAGCCTAGTTGAGTGATGAATTCTCCGGTGTGGGCCGAAATGGTTTCGCGAAGCCCCTCCCCCTCCCCCTCCCCCTCACCCTCACGGTGCAAGCTATTTTCTAACTTGAAGAACAACATTTCAGACTTTCTACGGTAAGGGAGAGAGAGTCAATTTATAAAACAAAAGTTCACTAAGAATGCAACATCGGTCAGGAATGTACGAGAAACTAAATATTAAATAATTTAGAAATGCAAACAAAAAAAAAGACAAACGACATTGAAATCCATGTTATCATTGACACGTGATGTCATCCATTAACGAGATGATGGGTTTTTGTCTCATTTCAACTGCAACGGCGATAACCATAACAAATTAGTGATTGGATATTGAAATGGACCAATGACTAATGTTTCATAAATAAATTTAAAAAGTTTCTTTGGTTCGGTCTTGTTACCAAAAATATTTAAAAACATTTACAAAATGTTGCGGTTTCCAAGCTAATTGAACACTATGCATCGAAACAAGATTTTAATTCTTAACTACAATTACCATGGGTAAAACTAAGGATTTTAAAATATAATACGACACAAAATTAGACGGTTTGAATCTTTTTTAAACCGCCCATTCCATAAATAAACTGGATTGAACACGATACGATTAATACATAATATAATTCGTTTATATACCGGTTATGTATGATTCATATAAAATATGAATCCAATATGACACGATTCATTAAACACGAATTAATAAATGAATAAGATATGAGTAGAGTATTATTTGATACAAACCGTTTAAGATGTGACATAAATCTGATTCACTAGAAGTTCCAAGGGCTAAAAGCATGTCACCCATTAAGTTTGACATCCCAGAGCTCCACAGTCCTTACTAATCCACTGATTCAATGACAGTTGAGTTTTCTTTTTCTTGCCTTTTAGGTTGCTGTTAGAACAGGCCATGAGGATGACTGGTGACTTGTATTGCCTCACAACAACGAGTTTAGCTTCCATTTGCCAGCGGTAACAAAGCTATGTGACTCGAGTTTTCCACTTGAAGGTGACAAATTAGCTAGCTAACTGGATTTTTCAACCACTGCAGCCTTCCTACATAGGAACTTCAAGTACGTCCTTTAAAGTTGCTAAAAGGAATTTTAAGAGATACGATTTTTGGGCAATCATCTCAGTAACAATCGTCATGAAAATGTATAGAAAGGACAGCATCAAAGGAAGCAAACAAACGCGTGAGAAAACCAGTGTAAGAAAATTCTGCAAATGCTTCATTTTCAGGGACAGGTGACATGAAATTGGAGAGAAGGTGGATTACTACTTCACTAGCATTTGACAATGGCATGGCTAATATGAGAGTGTGGTAAATTTTACGACACTGGCTCCTGCAAGTGATATGCACATCTTTGTTCATAAAGATATATATATCATTGCATAACTTCTATCACCTTGTCTGTTTTGAAAACTGAAACAAAATTTGAAAGAGCAAGGCCAAAGAGTACACACTGAAAAGCATAGCACCTCTCATTCAAACGATAGATAATAGGACTCGATCAAACTGTCCAAGACAGAGTACAAGAAAAGGACATACACCAATACATTATTACAACATAAAGTTTGATCAGCTACTTCCCCACAATTAGTTTAGCTCTTGCATTGCCTTCATTTATTTGGAACTGATCACCCAAGCCAAGATGAGCCATCAATAACCACACCACAGTGATAAGCTGTCCACCACTGCTCAGTTGTGCAGCGTGCGCATTTGCTCTGCAATGACAGGCAGCATAAGACAGCATCTCCACCCAAACTTTGCTCATTATTTCCCATTTGTCTTTATCTTTGAACTTCTGCAATTCTTTGGCCAGGATGCATGCGTCGAACAACACAGATTTGCTTCTATCCCCCTTGACAGCAACAGGGTTTACTTCTGTATTAACATCAAGGATCTTTCTGCAGGCCTCTTTCTGTTCTTTTTCCCAATCTGATTTCCCTTTTCCGAAGAATTCAACGACTTGGAGATAAAATCGGTCGGCTTTTGTCTGTACCTGTCCCTGGTCTGCTTTTCCTCCAATAATGTGTTTCTTAACAGCTTGGAAAATTAGAATGGCAGGAAAAATAAAAAATAGAAGAAGATACTTGAAAAAACAAGAAATTACGTAAATGATAACGTCACAGTTATTTGCCTCTCTCTGTCTCCTTCCTGGCTTTCCTTGTTGAAAGAACTTCTTGGCCTCGGCGCAGGTATCTCGGAATCTTATTTGCCCAATACCTGCCACTGCAGACATCATAGTAGGCTCCATAACTAGAAGATACAGCATGTAATCTGAGAGGAGCTTGGAAATTTCACGAAAATCTTTCTTTGGATCCTTGTTTGTATCACTGCCTTCATCAATATTATAGCAGAGTTCGGTGGCAATGTGCCACAAAAGAAGGCTCTGATCATAGTCGACCTCAAGGATCCAAGGGAAGAAGTTGCTGCAATTTTCGACCCGAAGAATCCAATCACCTCTGGATGAACATATCTCCTTGGCAGTTTCTAAATCATCTGCCATCTCAGATTTTGTTTGCAGCTCATTAAAGATGTGGTCTCTTAATTCACAAGTGAATGGCTTGCTTCTCACATATTTCAACCTATCGAGAAAGTTACTAAGGCCAAAATAGCCAACCAATTTGTCCTTTACTTCCGGGCGTGGATGCAAACAGTAATATATCAAGTTGTAAGTTGAAATAGACTCAGACCACCTGCGTCTCTTGAATTGCAATGGCCAACCAAAACAAGACTTTTTTGGGAATTTGTTATACAGTGCAACCACAGTTCTATCGGAGAAAATAACCATGAGGAGAGCAATTGCATCCAAGGCAATGGCACCAAATAGAAGGGTGTAAGTAATCACTACATCAAACTCATTGAAAGTGTCCTTTTTTTGGGAATAGAAAAGTACAAGGGCTACAACAACTGAACAGAATGAAATAAACCGGAATATGAATCCTAATGTACTATGCACCACACTGACCTTGGTGTAGAGGACTTCATAGATGAAATTGAGTTCAACCTCTACCACTTTAAAAGCATCTTTTGCTGATCTCTCGAGGAAGAAGTCCCGGCTTAGGTTGCGTTCACGGAAGCTGAATATGAGATCAACAACAAGCCCCTTGAAAGTTTCGAAAAATCTGTAAGCATGGTGCACCACATCCAAATCTGTCAATGAACCTTCGACTTTATTGACAGCTTTGGTTACTCTATGAGGTTCTGGAAGCATTTCTATCTTAGTTGGTAGCCTGGCCTCTTTCATGGAGGAGTATTCATACATGAGCTTGGCATAGTTTGGCCCAGGGTCAGGCTTTCGATTCATGGAGTCTCGGAACCTACCCATGCTTGCAAGATACAGTGCCCGCGTCCGCTCAGAGTACTTGATAACTCCCGCGAAAAACATGAGCGTTGTGGGGATCCATATCTTGTTTTTGGGAAGTGATTGAAAGAAGACATAGACTGCAGCCACACACTGCGCTACCAACCCAAACAGATGCCTCAGCCACAGCTCATTATCCTCCAAAGCGAAAGCAGTTATAGGATCCGGGCCACCAAGGTGCACCAGAAGAAAGGGAGCCCAAAATGCCAGAAGGTCAGCATTGTTATCATCAGAACCAGGCTTCTTGCCTTGGCTGTTGGAGATGATTCCCACTGCAAAGCTAGCAGCCCAATCTGCAAGCAAGTATGCCACCCAGACCGGCGTGATTATCCAAAATCTGGACACTCGCTTTCTCAAGGGAGAGAAGAGAATTAAGAAAGTTTGCAGTGAGAGGCTTAAGAGAATGAAGCACCGTATATCCCATCTCTCCCACAGCTTCTTCCAGTATTTGGGAAGTATTTCCATGCCCTCTTCTTGGTGTTTTCCACAATCCTTTACCCTGTTGAAGCAAAAACCTGGTTGGTTCTCTACTTGGCCAAAAAACAAAGTGTGTAATAAACACAAGCACAATTCACACAACTGACTGATAGATAAGTTCTTTATGAGAGATCATAGATAAGAAGCCCATATGCATCAGTTGCTAGTTTACAAAAAGTCAGTTTCACAGTCCTACTGAGTCTTAACCACTATTCTTGCAAGTAAGATTTTTCTCCTTTGTTTTCTAATATTTTTTCCGTTTAAATATAATATTGATAGTTTCAAGCCAGCTAGGTTATGATTCTAAAGAAAATTATAAATGGAAGCTAAGTGAGCAGAACCTATAGTATAGTACCTGAGAAACAAATGAAACTAAAATTAAGACTAACAGAAGGGCTTTCTGCTTTGATTAAATTTACCTTGTACGACCAAAAGAAATACTTACCACACAAAAGCCCTCTACAAAAATCGACGAGATCTCAGATGTATGTGTACCCCCGGACCTTAAAAAAACGACATATAGCTGCTGCGCACAGTGTTTTCATGCATAATGTGGGAGTATTTAAACTGCAAACAATCTAGGTGACCTTTAAAAGCACATCAACTGGACCCCCAGGAAGTTGAGATGCCAGGGCATCAGAAACAAGTGTATCACACACACCCCCCCATAAAGACTCTCAGAATGACTTGATATGGAAGTAAAGGAAAGAATATCATGTGAAAGACCTGACCGTTCAAGGCTATTTTTAACCTTTATCCTTTCCATTTTTGTCCTACCATTTGATTAAAATCTCATTCTATATTGGTGCGTGAATAACGTGATCCCTTTACAAAGGGTGCATAGTGCAGCTTGGGCAGCCATGTCCTGTTGCATATCTTGGTGGTCACTCTTTCTTATTCCGCTAGAATAGATAGATTGATAGGAAGAGGTAGGGCTCATCAGCCTCGTCCCCTCAGAGGATGATAGATTGGGTTCCCAAGCTTTCTGCGCTAGGAGAAGAGAAGCATCATAGTAGTATCTTATTTCTTTATATAAGTATGAAAATTTGTAGAATCTAATGTAGTAGACGAAGATGTTATGTGCAAAAGTAGTAGCAGGAGCACCTGCTCCTCCAATTATAGTTGAAGGAAAGCAAAGTCCTTGGCCATTCAAAAATCTGGCATTCAGCCATTTCCTCAGATTTCCAACAGGAACAGAACCTAAGGCCTGGAAATCCTTCTAAACAACTTGCCTCTCATTTCCTCAGATTTCCAACATCGAAGGACTTGCTTGGAAAAAAAAAAAAAAAAAAAGCCAGCTCCTCCCTAACAACCCACATTGTATTTTGGTTGTTGCTAGTTCTGATATTGACTGCAACACTCATAATCTGTAAAATACAGTTTGCTTTGAGGTAGGTCCACACTGTTTTAAAGTATATTGTTCAAAAAAAAAAGTTCAAAACTTATACTAATAAATAATTTTGGACACACTATGGTGGCGATTAAGATCCAAAAACTAAGACTCCCTGAGCTTGGGGTTAATATGGATGAGGCGATCCACGTGGTTTGGTAAAGTATGTGTAAAATGATCTATAAGTATGGTTTCTAAATTTTCTATATATAACTTGTTAATAATGTAAAAAGAGTATCCAATATTTTACATGAGTAAACCTTAACCTATGTATATATATATATAAGTAACCAGGAAGGCCTTTCCTTCCTAGTTGCTGCTTGATTTGAACTTGTAGTTGTGAGTTGATATTGATGAGGAACAAAAATGAATTTATGCACAATTAACAGTCGAGTGTATGATATAATGTAATTAATGAAACAATTAATAACAAAAGATAAATAATTGGTGGTTGGGCCGATGTGATAAAGTAGAAAGTGGGAGAGAGAGCAAGGATAAGCTCTAGGTATGGTGAAGTAGCTATGAAAAAAATAATTGTGTAAAATGTGTGTCCGTCATGTGTAAAAAACTTATAATTTATAGGCACAAAGCCTCAGGAGCAGCTCAACAATAGAAATAAAAAAGTTTGGGTTTTAGGCCCCATATTTATGGAAGGCCCCATATTTTTAAATCCCTTACATAATCCATTTGAAAAAATTAAATTCATAAATATTTTAAACTTGACAAAAAGGCATCATAAAAACACATACCCAATAAAAAATAATTTAAATTCAATCATTTAGGCCCATAATCCAACCCAAACATTAAAAACCCAAAAAATTTAAAATTAAAAAATTAATAATAAAAAAAAATTATCAAATCAAATCATTACTTACAAATCTCTCTCTCTCTTAAGAAGCTAAGTTGGCCAACACCTAACAAAAAGAATCAACTATGTCACAAGAGAGATTAGTTGGATTAGCGATATTATTAATTGATAAAAAAATATAGTAGCAAAACTTGAATATTAAACTTAATTAATACCTTTTCATTTCAAAGTTCAGAAAAATAAATTTATACTAAATATAGTAAACCTTATTTATAGATATTGCTTTAGGTCTCAAACTACCTTGAGCTACCTCTGCAAAATCTTAGTTGAGTTGGGGGTGCGAAGGGTTGGTTACTAGCTTTTCGGGGAGAATAGCTACAACTACGGATAGGTACAATTAGAGATAGTCTTAATTTTTGAGAGTGAATATCTCAATGATTATTTCCCATGTGTGATGACTTCTTGAGTCCCTAGAATCTTGGATTGGACTAAGATTACAAGCTAAACTGGACACGCTTTTTAGTTGATTTAAACTTGTCTTATTAATTAGGTCTGACTCAATTGGATCTGAGCTCATTAGATAATATCATCTTTAGCTCCTGCATAATATGCTAACTTCAGAACCTTAACTTGACACCACTGCCAACCTTTAATAAAGCCAGTTGTGCGGACAGAATTTCCAAAGCAGCCAACAAGAAGTCTAGGAACCCGGATGAAACCTCCACCAAGTGACTTCCTGTTGTTACAATTGAAAAGTGACAAAAAGCATTCTGCCTTCTAATTGGAGTCGGTGTAAATCAAGCAATGATTGTGCAACACCTATATTTTAAATAATAATTTTTTTAATTATGTAATTTAAAATTAAAAAAGAAATAGAAAAGAGAGAACAGATAGATAGGAATGGGATGGTGTAAATCAACGTGGTGCAACTTTGTGATATTGAACAGATGTGATGAGTAGTATGTGACTATTAGGATCTGAGTTACAAGACTCAAAAGAACAAGGATTGGTATTCAGGGAAAAATTGGGAAATTGACACAATGAAAATATAGTGGTTCATCGGCTCAAGAGCTCGACTAATCCACTCTTTAATGGAGGCTCTTGCTCTTTTTTTTTTATTGATCATTCGAAAAGTTTTCAAGACCGATTGTATGTTACTAGCCTCTCCCCTCTTTTGGGGCGTTACATAGTATTTATAAGGCTATCCCTAGTTCTGCGAGATCTGCACCGAGATTCTTGTCATTTATCCGAGGAACTCTCCTTGATTTTAGGAGAGGATCTTGGCTGGTTAAGGACTTTGTGCCTTGAATATGGCTCTCTGCCACATGTAATATTTTTGTTTATCATCCAGTTGTTCCCTTATCATTTTCGCTATTATCACATCTGGGGGGAGCTCTAACTTTGATCATCTGCGTGTCTTCCATGACCTCTTGGTCTGGCCTACTTGTCTGACCTCTGCTCCTGAGCTCATGTTTAAAAATTATTCTGAGTATCATCAGTTACCCCCCAGCCCTTAGCCCAAGTGAACTTTGGTAGGGGCTGAGCTGAGGCTTAATTAAGGCAAACCTCCAGACATGGCCTCGATTTACGTGCAAATAGGTTTTTGATGGTTTTAGGTAATCATTTTATTTCCTAGTTTCTCGTGCGCGTTCTCCACTTTGTACCATTAGCTTTAAATGCCCCTGGACCAACGGTTCCCTCCTCACTCTTCGAATTCTCTTTGGCTTTCCCTCTTTCCTATGCGACTTCATCTTCCCCAATTCGCTATTGTTCTTAGGACTTTTGCAGGAAAATGATTTCCTCTAATTTGACCCGAAGGCTTAGCGAGGTTTGCTTCTTCATTCTTCTCTTCGAAGGATTTGATACGTTTCTTGTCTTTTTTCGTGCTTCTTCGTCTTGGACCCCTCAAATTTGATGTGGTTGTTGCATTTTTGGACTTTTCGATTTTGCTACTTCAGGAACAGAGGTTGATCTCTGTCTCGTATTCCCCTATTCTTAGACCCTTATTCAACCGCTAGGATTTTTCTTATTGGCAGTTGCTGTGTTGCCCCCCAGACTCTTAGAGAGTGTTTCACAAATATTCCTCCCTTTTATCGCACCTTTAGTCTTCCTTTTTCTTGTCCCACTATATCTACCCCTTCTAGAGCTACCCCCTCCTTGGTTTCCCCCTAGGGAATAAATCTGCTGAGGAGAATTCTGATCTATGTGAGGTGGTAGAGGAGATTGACAAGTTCCTCGGTGTCGATTATGTTGAAGCTGAGGGAAACCCTGTGGAGATTCCCTCATCTGCCTCTCCTGCGCCGTAAAACCCCAACAAAGGTAAGGCCAAGGTGGGCGACGCTGGTGATTCCGACAATGAGGGGGCTGCTTTCAGGAATGTAGAGCTCGCGGGCTCTAGCGAGGTCACTCTTTCCCTTATGAAGGTTCTTAGTGCCCGTTTTGATTTTCCTCCTGGCGTCCAATATTGGTGCCTAGACAAATTTACCCCATACGTCTCCCAAGTCCATAAGAAGGTCTATTTTTTTTGTGGTCGTCTTCGACAATGACCTTCGTTTTTCCATGCATCATTTTATCAAGAGTGTTTTGCAACACTTCAACGTCTGCCTTGTTCAGATCTCCCCTAACTTCTAGGGTGTTCTGGTGGGCCTTCTTGTTTTCTTTAAGAAACATAAGTTTGGGATTCCCACTGTCTCTTTGCTCATGGAGTATTTCAATGTTAAGTACACCCCTATTGATGGTTTCTTGTATATTTCTAAACGGGTAAAAGCCAAAGCGATTATTTCTGACCTCCCGAGCTTTCACAAGGGCTGAAAAAAAATTTTCTTCTTCGTGGGGTGCAATCACTAGGAGTACAATCCTACAGATAACTCAGATTCCCTTCCAATCCCTCGGGTCTGGAAAGCCCCAAACAACTTGGGTAAGTCCTCCTCTGAATGAACTTGTATCAATTTTAGGGTTTCTTAGGCTGATCTTTTTTTGCTTATTTTATCCTGCTTCTCAGGTATCCACACTGAACTCAGTGCTACAGATGAGAGGATTTCGCGGTGTTTGGAGGTATTTAGTCCCCCTGAAGTAACGATAGAAGCTCTCATTCCCCTCTTTGTTGTTAGTGTGGAGGAGGCAGCTAGTATACCCTGACTTCTCCATTTCCAACTTCTTCTTTCGTTCTACTTATATGTTCTTATCTATTTTTGGGCTCTTAGGGTCATCTACGATGAAGCCATCCACAGCAGAGCTCCAAGCCAAACTTTCTCAGCTAAAGAAGACCAGAAGTAATGGTAAACGCAAGGCTGAGGTTGGTTCAGGTAGCGAGGCTGCTCCTCCAACCAAGGTACAGAAAATGAACATGCCCTTGGCTCTTCTGCTTCAACTCCAACCTCAACCATTCATCCTTCTTTTAATTTGTTGGCCACAGAGTGTTCTTTCCCCCACAGGGTCTCCGCTTGCCCTTAGCAGGGTTCTTGAGCAATGACAGATCTCCCCAACCTCTTCTGAGGTTAATAGGGCCTTGAGAATGATTTCTCACTTGCTGCCCACCTCCAGCTCTCTTGCGACATCCGAACAACTTTCCTTGTCACGCCTTGTGGGCACCAATGTTGGAAAGGAAAAAATTCCCATGGTGGAAAATAGCCAGGGCTCCTTCTTTGACAATATTGAGCTCGCTACTGGGCGATTAGCTTCATTCTTCCTGAGTCTAACATTCAAAGAGCTTCTTTCATGCCTCTTGAGACTTCAATAAGCTCAGCTCTTCATGGAGCGACTGCTATAAATGTCTATCTCTCTCCTATTCTTTTCCTGCATGTTATAATCTGGTGCTAACCCTTGCCTCATATGTTCTTGCTTTCAGCTAGCTTTCCACGTGAAGGGTTTGATGGAGAGAATCCACTCCTTGGAAGGTTCAGTGAAGGTCACAAAGGCTTTTGAGATCAAAGTTGTTGAGCTATCTTTTAGCAATGAAGATCTTCGCATTCAGAACCAGGAGCTCCAGGGGCAGGTGGAGAGGCAAGCCTCCTTTATTCTGGATTTGAAGGCAAGGAAAGATAGAGCCAAAAATGAGGAGAAGAAGGCCAAAGAGGAGCTCGAGCTTAAGAACGATGCTTGGGGTCAGAGCTTGTGAGAAA